CGAACGAATACCGAGGTCAAATCATCGGATAGCAGCGCGGCAAAGGCAAATCTGGACCTGAACAAGGCAACAGGAAGCGTCGGTCGAGCAGGAGATCCAATCCCACCTTTCGAGAACAACATGATTCGTCAACGGATTGACCGCCACGGAAGGATCTATCCCCTCGCCGACCCGCAAGAACTACCAGCCTTGCAAATGCATCCAGACCAGGTGGGGGTAGTAAAACCCGGTCCTGTACGGGAATGGCTCGCGGCTAAAAAGATTTGGGACACAAAATATGCCTCAACGAGGAGCAGAGTGCAAAAAGAACGAGTTCGGGCATTATCGAGTGGAAAGATCAAGGCCTTTGAGCCCGGCGAACACCCTCCACCGTGCGCTCTCGCGAGCCGGCGGACGGACAAGGACCTGATTGTCAAGAAACAGAAACGGAGCTACGGGCTCGCAATGTGGAGTATGTGGGGAAGCAAACATGACGAGTCGGTGCTGAAGAGGGAAGAAGAGGCCGTGGAGGTGGAGAAATCGGAGGATAAACTCCTAGGACGAGAGGGCGAGGGAGGGACCTCACCTGCTGATGTCGATCGGGAGCGATCTTCGACACGTTGGCGAAGTCATAGCATGAAGCGGAGCCTAAGTGCAAAACGGACGGCCAGCGAATCAAAAACCCGAGGCAGGAAACGCACCATCTCGGTCACGGACAGAGGCCAAGCTGAAGGTCGTTATGTTCCCCCAGTTTTGATTCCGTCAGGACCCCCAAGTTCTGCCGAGCTACTCAACACGGCAGGAGACCAACGATCGGCTCCATCTGGGCACATCGCTTCGCCTGAATCATCCCTACTCTCCGCAGGCTTCATTCCAAAGTTCAAGACAGCAACACACCTTCGTGATGACAGCGGTGGACAACACGGGTCTATGATGTCCGATGCTGCAAGCACAATGACTGGCCGTAGCGGGATCGCGGCCGATGATGCCAGCACTCGTGCGGTATTTGCCGTGTCAGGTATCTCGAAGAGCCTCGACTCACAGGAAATAGAGAGGGCAAAGTCATCAAGTCCAGATCCGAACACAAGACCAGGAAGTCCCTTAGCAAACGAAACAAGAAGTTTCGTTTCCGGGAGTGAAGACTTCAATGAAGGTACAGCAAGTATAAATGTCGGCGTTGATCGGAGCACCATTATTCCAGGGAGAGCTCGCATCGGGCCTTTTGGAAACGATACACCTCGAAGCCACCGCAGTCTGGAGCGGTTACAAAGCCACCAACGCGACGAAGGAATGGATCGTCTGGCTCCGCTCAGAAGCCCAAGCTCCACTGCCATTGTGAAGGCAGAAGGCGTGGTTGGTATGGTTGACAATGCAGAGCATCCGGGAACAGGCGCAGTTGAAGACCATGAGAGCGAAGAAGATCAGGCAGACAAAAAGAAGGAGGTGAATGGAACAGTCAAAGAAGAGGCAGCCAGCGTGCAGGAAGGATCAGTCGGAAGACAAGTTGATGGGGTTATATCTGAGCGGCCCAAGATGTATGAGAGGACGGAGACAAAGTTCCAAACGGCGATGGAGAGTCCGTCTTGAAGCCACCTCAAGATTGGATAAAAACAACAACACCATCTTATACTGTTTTCTGCCTGCCATGTTTATCCTTGCTTATCAAGTCTTGGACCGATGTCCATGTGCAGAGCCTAGCTATTCGTGTTTCGAGATTTGTGGCGCATTTTTCCTCATAATTGCTATCTGGAAATATCAGACCAAAGATAGGAAAATTGAAGAGAAGATCATCCGATTGAACAGCCAAACCCACCCACGTTCTTCGAGAGCCATATACCCACGAGGTATGTGTCCCATGGAATGGAAAGGCAGCAGTCGAAGTTCTATATATTTTGGCGCTTAGTCATTCAGTGCAACCAACAATGCCACCCAAATGCCACCTAGAATGCACCCTGGCACCTCAGTCAGACGATCCTCTTGACCCGACAGACACCCACATACCTCACTGACCTCTCATGCCTAGCGATATGTACCTACCTGTTAGCTTCACGACACCGACAACTCCGTTACAAGCCTTGTAGTGCAGACACGCAGAGCAAGCAGCCGGGCATGCATAGCCACTCACCCACCCATTGCGACTTGTTCTCCCCTTCTGCGCCTCAATACGATAAACCTTCGCCCGCAATTAAACAGCTCCAAGCCTAATCAATCCTCTTTCAACGAAGCCCGATGTCCAGAGTATCCTGGGATCATGCAAATCAATGTCGCAACCACCCTCGTCAAGGCAGCCCAAAGTGCAGCCAGCTACTGCAGCATCTCAAAGCCACCAATGGAAGTTGCACATCAAAGTGCGACGCCTGGGGCTGAGACGCCCCAAGGCACCCTGACTAGCGAGGCAGACACCGCAAAGCATGCAATCCAGGCATATCCCGACTGGGAACATGCTCACGTGTATTATTGGCTCTCAGCCTCGTCCAGATTCATGTGCACTTGGACGGCTTCAATAATATCAGAGGTGTAGAGTTCAAACACCTTTCAGGGATTGAGATGGCGGCGGAGGTCGTGCTAGGCGCTGTCGGTCTCCTCCCAGTGATACTCGAGGTTCTCAGATCCTATCGAGACATACACGATAAAGTCCGCACTTTTCGCAACTGTTGTCAAGAACTCGCCTGGATCCAAACGCGGCTGAAGACGCAGAAGCTCAAATTCTTCTACAACTGTGAACGCTTGATTCGGATCAAATTGGAGCAGAATGAGGAGCTGGAAGACCTGATCAACCTCTCGACACAAAAATTCTGGTTTGATGAATCTGCGAATAAACAAGTGCGCGATTCGCTCGGTCGCATAACAGTCGATCTGCTGCAGGACATCGTGGCAGAAATCCAAACCATCCTCAATGATTTCGACAATGACCTTCAGTGCCTCGACGTCATAAAGTCTGAGAGAGTCGTGGTACTGTCCTCGTCTATCCACGCCCCCCTGGGTCTATCACTAACACAGGACGTCTCAAGGGTGAATCTCTACAAAAAGCCTTCCGTCGTCTTCGCCAAGGCTTCACCATTGTCTTTGAAAAGTCTCGATTCTCCAGAAATCTGGATCGGTTGCAAAGTCGCAACGAGGAACTCAAAAGTCTCATTGAAGACTCGATCGACTGGTCCTTCCATGAGCAGCGCCGAAGACCTACCAAATCAAAGGATACCATCAGATCATCGGTGGCCGAATACAACATCGTGCAGTGCGTCGCAGGGAAACTGCACGAGGCGCTGAACGAAGCATGGTGTTGCAATGGCCTTGGCCACACTCATCATTACGCAAAGTTATGCGTTGGTGTACAGGTCAATAGAGGAGTGCGATTGGATCTGGCGATTTCTTACGGCATGCATGGCGCACAGGACACTGGAAAGTGCGCGCTCCGTGGCTCCTATTACTTTTGACCCTAGCTAATGTGACATTTGATAGCTATTCTGCTGAAGAACATCCCACATGGTTATACATCCAATCATCGACTACCGAAGCTGGATCTGCCATAGCAAGCCAAAAAAGAGCACGGTCTTCAGAAGAGAGTGATACCGAGAGCGATTCCCCTCATGCAAGGGTCCGCTATCATGCAGCGAAGGTGTCCGCAGGTGACCACCAGCCAAGTCGACATGATGCAAGCGGCCCATCGAACCTTCTCGGCTCCTGCGCACCCTCATCCATTTCCGGCCCTGCCACAGGGGCAGATACCATATTCGTTGACCTTTGCCAGTCGGACAATGTGTGCCGCCATCTGACCGACAGCCCTGGCCTTGGGCCCGACGACAAGTCAAGCCAGTGTTTAGGCTATCTGGAGAGCTCAGATCAATTTAGACACCTATTCTACTCCCCTAAGGCCGAGGAAGCGCTGATACCTCAAACTACGGCGGTTCCGTCTCGACGATTCCTGACCTTGAACGAGGTTTTTCGTCTGACTGATAATGCGACCTTAGATCCCCGCTACAAAGTTCAACTTGCCCTCAACTTGACAAAGGCTGTGTTATGTTTCCATCAGACTCCTTGGCTTCGGGAAGGCTGGCAGATTCACGACTTTGCATTCTTTGATCACCGGACGAAACTCTCAGACATTCAATTCAACACTCTCCACTTGACGTCGCAGTTGACAGAATGCAGAGCTCAACCACCATCGCTTTCATCAGCAATGGAAGGTGTTCAGACACAGTTTCAGCTGTCTTTTCCCCCAACGCCACACCTTGTCTTCGATCGCGGCGTAGACAACCTCACACTCTTTAACCTAGGGGTAGCCCTACTTCAGATTGTTTGCTGGAAGCCTCTTGGGGAGCTTGGTCAAGGGCAAAATCTCGATGACATACACTTGGCTCGGAAGATATCCCTGTCTGACCAGGCCTCAGTTTTGGGTCCCAAGTTCAAGGATATTGTTCGGAAATGCCTTCGTTGCGAGTTTGGTTCTGGCACCAATCTGGAAGATGAGAATCTGAAAGGAGCTGTTGCAGCACACGTGATCCCAACCCTGGAGTCAATGATGAAGGCAATGAGCATCTAACAGGTGAATATCTGGAGTCTGTGGATCCAAATGATAGTGTGCGACTACATAGCAAGGTGTTTGAAAGGTTGGCGTCAGGACGATGGGTCCAGTATCTGGTATAAAGGAGCCCCCAAAGTCGGATGCCGCACAATGAGCATTTGCGTACGTACACCCAAAACTCGATACTACATCGAAAGCGCAGAATGACGTTCAACCTTTGGGGCAAGGCAAGGTGATCAACTAGAGTCCAAGGCTGAATGAGGCTGACACGCAGAGAACGCTGAAATTCAGCCTTACTGAATACGAGGACCTACGCGACAAAACGAGTTCTTGGCTTGCTGCCTGATTAACAACTACACTGTCCTTGATTTGAAGCCATTTAATTGCTCGTTGGGTCTTTGGTAGTCTTCTAGACTCTCGATACTCCTCTTTGGTACTGCAGTCTTTCTGTGGTCATCGCTCATTCTCTATATCACGGAAGGGCCGTCCCCATCTCTTCATGGTCGATCTTTCCAAGCCTCACCGCATCATCGGTGAGGCTGCCAGGAGCTTTGAATCACTATTGTCTGGCAGCGATGCACGTTTATTCGAGAAGACTACGCTCGCCGATGTGCAGGAAGCTGCCTTGGCCATCCAGCGTGCGCAGGCAGACAGAAAATCCCTTCAAAACATCGCACGACTAGCTGGATTGTTCAAGTCGTTGCCAGCATTCGCTGCGGTTCTCCAGCCTCTTTGCCCAGAACCTGCATGCCTCAACTTTCTATGGGTATTTCATGCCTTTATTTGGTATCATATGGAGAAACTTCTAACATCCTCAAGGCACCAATTGAACAATCCCTTCAGGCAAGTCTCGTCCTAGATCAAACCACGAACTGTGAGGTGAGTTACGAAGACTGACACAAGCATCTTCCGGCAATCTAGATTGCAGACGGCTATGCCTCTGCCTTGGATCAACTCATCGATTCCTACCAACAAATCGCAGAACACCTTCCCCTCTTCGACCGTCTGACCCCTCTGCTTCTCCAGGATGAAGGTACACAGTCAATAATCGCTCACGTCTATGGTGATATACTGGAGTTTCATTATTGCGCTTATCGACTGCTGCGTCAAAACTGTGAGTTGGCTAAAGGTTTCTTCACTTGGTCCTTCTGACAGTATATCAGCCTGGAAAGTACTATTCGATGCCACCTGGAAGAATTTCGCACTTCGTTTCAATGGGATCCTTGAGAGGCTTGGCAAGAGCAGAGACGTCCTTGCTGCAGGAGTAGACAGCATTGCCGTCCTGGCAGACGAAACTTTTCGTCGGGAGGTTCTTAATCGGATGACCCGGTTGGAAACTGAAAGGGACACTTTGCAACTACGAAATGTTCTCACTTGGCTGAATGGAACACGGCTGGATGAGGATCAAGAATCAGTACTGCAAAACCGTTCAATTGCCCGCCAGCAAGGGACGTGTGAATGGATTTTGGAAAATCCTAATTTGCGATCATGGCTGGATCCCGAAGACAATCGACCCCTTCTTTGGCTGCACGGAAAACCGGGCTCAGGTATGTCAAATTGCTTTAGGCCCCCAACTGGCTAATTTCATGTCAATAGGGAAGACGACCATTGCCGCATTTCTGATAGAGAACGGTCCCTGGCCAGCCAATAGCACCCTCCTCTACTTTCTCTGCCCTGATGAATCCCCGCGTCATAGGTTCAGTGCATACAGCCAGATATCGCAATGTTTGATTGCACAACTCCTCACCAAGAATCGGGCCCTCGTTCCATATCTTCACGATAGACTTACTTCATCATCTCAGAGCATGATGACTCTGCTCTCGGAGCTGCTACGAGCTACTGGGTCTGCGTTCCTGATCATCGACGGCTTGATCAGTGTGAACCGGAGAGTCAAGCCTCTATACTGGCAGAACTGGCTAGTCTCTGGTCATTGAAGGAAAGCAGCAGTCCAGATCGTGCTCTGGTCAAAGTTCTCATTTGTTCAAGATCGACCGTGGAAATCTACTCAAAGTTGAGGAAATTCCCCGGAATCTCTTTATCCGACGAGAAGAAGTCGATATCGGAAGATATTGCCATTTTTGTAAAGAAAACCCTTGCTCCCTTGCATGACTTGGACTGTGCAGATGTGGTAGAGGAGATGGAGCGGATGGTGGTCGCGCAAGCTGACGGTGAGTATGTCCCCTGGTGGCATTCAGACCAGTGGGCTGATTCCTATCGAGGAATGTTTCTGTGGGCGAAGCTTGCTGTTGCCCAATTGCTCAGCCAGCATACTGTAAAGGGTTTGCACGCTGCGTGGGCCAAACTGCCGCCTGAGCTTTCGGAATTGTAGGTTGTTTGTGCATCCTTGTTCTAGGGTGACTGACTTTTACAATCCAGATATACCGTTATTCTCCATCGACTTCAGGACTGCGATGAGCAACAAAAGCGACACATCAATCATGTTCTTGGATTGCTGGTTGTTGCATATCGACCTCTAAAAGTCTGGGAGGTTTGTGATGCGATGCTATTGCAGGATGGTCAGTTGCCACTCAACAGCGAGACAAACGTCCTACACGACATCATCGACATGTGCAAACCCTTTGTTGGGAAAGGGAATCATCAGACTATCAGACTGGTGCATTGGTCTGCCAAAGAGTATGGGGATATCTGTAGAGAATGATTGAAGCTGACATGATCACAGCTACCTGTTGACCGAGTTGAACGGTCCCTGTATACAGCTCCAGCAAGCACACATCAATATTACACAAGCTTGCATACGATGTTTGACAACTTGTCATCCATTCACCAAAAGCGAAATATCACCAGAATCTCAGAAGCAGATCGTGAAAGGAGATTACGATTTTGTTTTCTACGCGTATGAGTACTGGATTTATCACCTAAGAGAGTCGTTCCGGAGTCACACGGCGGCAGCTTCGACGGATCTCGCTGATGGTAGGAAAACAATATGTCACATGGTGTTTGATATGCTGAAGGCCATGAACCAATCTCGGCTAGACAAGAAATTCCTTGACAGCGTCGAGGCCCTAAAGGACAGACTCAATACCCGGGGATCAAATCTCGAGGATATTCTTAGACCGATTCTACGTCCACTTGCTAATCAAACGTTATTCCTTTTACGTGGAGCGGATCCGTCCCCACGCCCAGGTAGTCAGCGGAGCTCAAGCATCCTCGACATCGCGTTCACCAACTTCCAGAACGCCTTCGAGGAACTATACGAAGCTGGTTCCTCCTTTGATCCCTCCAGATTAGGTATCGCAGTTACGGATCTGGACAGTTTCAAGACACGTCACAGCCCTACTCCGTATCTATGTCGCTACAGTGAGTGCGGTGCGGGCGCTGTTGGTTTCACGAGCGCTCCGGAGCGTGAAGAGCACGAGCTATGCCACCGAGGATTTTTCGGCTGTACTGAGCCTGCATGCGATTTCCGTGTCCTTAAATTTGCTTCTTGGATTGATTTACGAAGGCATGCAGAGAACTACCACGGCGACAAAGATGCACCATCACAAACATCTCACGCGAAAGGCAAACGACCGAGACACGGAAGTTTGCTGCCTCCATCCACCACTAAAGGCAAGGCTGGCGAGCTCAGGACGAGAGATCCTACACATGAGTTGCTACGTGAATCTGAGGTCGGCACACTGGCTCGGATCTTTCGAAGCTGTGTCAGATTACTCAAGTCGATGGTAACCATCCTACAGGAATCGCAAGCTCCTCCTCACCTGCTGGAAGGAAAATTGATGCGGGCTTTGAACACACTTCAGCTCTGGGGAGATGCTTATCAAGTCGATGAGGGATACCTGGATAAACTATTATGCAAATCAACGGAGCTGCGAACCACTACAGCAACGCTGCTGGCCGGAATTGGAAGCATATTATCCTCTCGTGAGTGACTAGTGACTTTTGACTATTGCGGCGTTGGTTATGCAGTTCGGATGACAGGAGCTGACTTTATGGTAGGATTGCTAGGGTCTCTGTTTCAGACTGAGAAGAATCGATTAGCCGCTATTGAAAGCAGCAGAATCCAGAGTGCGTTAGACGATGTGCGCCACATCGCAGAGGATTATCAGTGGTTACATGACGACGATGAATTAGCGGACGAACGTGCGAATGCTGGTGGCGATTCTAACAGTCCACGAGCAGAAGAGGTTGAAGCTGTCGCTGATGGCCTCTGTGACTACTCTCTCGAGTTGATGCAGATGACCGATCTTTTCGACTCGCCATTTCTTCACGAGAAAGTCTCCAACAAGACGTCTGCTTTGCCACTTGCAGAAAGTACCAAGTCCTTGCTGCGTCACTCTGATGCTACCACAGACACCATATTAAAAGCCCCATCAGTCCTTGAGGCCAGTCCTCCATTGAGCTCTAGTGTTGAAGTCATAAAGTCCTCAGAGGCTCTCAATATAGGCCGTGTACAGAAAGAAGGACGATCAGCACTACATGACCTAAAAGAACCGCAAAAGATTCTTTCGTTTACCAGCTACTGCTATGGCATGGTGAGTGTCCCCCTTCTCTCCTAGCTTGTGTATGGGTGGCTGACACTCGTGTCAATAGATTTCTGGAAAGGTTCTGGTTCAATCTGGTTCACCTCTCTCAGTATCAGACTTGGTTTTCGTTCCGCCGGACAGACTTTACCAGACTCCAGAGGGCGATCAGTGGGCAAGCTTCGAAGAGCAAGTCGCTAGTGTTTGCGCTTCTCTGGTGGAGTATCACGGAGTCAGCCTCCAGATCTCTGTCAGGAATGATAATGGAAAGGATGGTTCATCAGAGAAGACATCCACTCCAAAGAAAACCCCAAGGCACCAAAAGGATATCATCGCCAACATCATCATCTATGGGCCTCCAGCACTCTGCGAATCAGTTGGAGACTACCTGTCCGCTGCCGGGTTCTTCCTACAACATCCAACGCATTGTAATCAAGATGTGCCGTATTTGAACCCTCACGTCCTTGGTTTCGGCGAGGACAACCTTCAGTTCACGTCTGAGCTCTTCCCGGGTGAACCGCAAGACGAAACAGAACTTGACAAAAACCCTCTTTCGAACTTCTATAGCAGTTCGGAGTTCGAAGAAACCGCTCAGCCAGACGGAATTGCGACTGCAATGGCCCCACATCAGAAAAAAGCATTGACCTTCATGATTGAGCGTGAAAGAGGGTGGAATGCCTCGAACGACTTCTGGACAACCCACATCGATGCGTTTGGAACCACGAGATACAAAAACACTGTATCTGGCGTAACTCAGGCATCGAGACCAACATCGCTTCATGGAGGCATACTCGCGGATGGAATGGGTATGGGAAAAACCCTCAGCATGCTTTCGCTAATTGTCGCAAACCCGTCCCGCAATGACGAGTCCAATCAGCACGGGAAAAATGTCGTCAAGAGCACATTGATTGTCGTCCCCTCTAGTCTGTTATTGCAAGCGTGGCAAGATCAGATAAGGATGCATTGCCGTCCAGAACATGTTCGCTATCAGATTTTACATGGCCCTGAGCGACACAAGGCTGTCAACATCGGAGACTGTGATATTGTTTTGACCACCTACAACACCGTCAGCACGGACTGGAAGAGGAACAGCAGTGAAGAGGGCGTTGCTTCCCGCCCCAACGTTCTGTTCGAAACGTCCTGGTACCGTGTGGTCTTGGATGAAGCACACTTCATTCGCAACCAGAACACAAAAAGTGCAAACAGTGTCTATTCGTTGACGTCGCAGCGCCGGTGGTGCATTACAGGGACGCCCATACAGAACAGATTGACCGACCTATTCAGCCTTTTCCGGTTCCTGAGACTTGACCCCTTTGGCGATTATAAGGTCTTTGAAAAAGAGATCCTTGGGCCGTGGAAGTCGAAATTGGATGACATAGCTACGGCTCGTCTTCGGTACATTGTGAAGGCAATCATGCTGCGCCGTTCATGGACGCAAGTACACCTACAGGAACCAAAGGAATACGTTATTGAGGTTTCATTCAACGCTCAGGAACGTGAGGAATATCAGAAAGCTGCGACACAGGGTATCAGCGACTTGGACAGTGCCCTCGACACAGACCAACAACCCTTCAATTCGGTGTATTTGAACTCCCTCCAAAACCTCAACGTCCTGAGATTCATCTGCAACCATGGTATTCGTCCAAGTCGTCAAGAAGCTGAGTGGGATTCAAGCTGCGTATTCGAGACAGCTTCGCCAACAATCTCCAAAGAGGAGGCGGAATCCGGAGAGACGACACTTTTGCGCGATCTTCTCTCGGAGAAAAATGTCGATGAGTCTTCGTCATTCAGGGCATCTTTCAGGGTCACAGATCCTGATGATTCTGAAAACGAGTCCCCTCCGTCATTGATCAGCGGCGGCAGAAGTACGAGAGCTTCATCGGCAGATCCTACAGAAGAGGCTCCAGTACCGTGGGCTTTTAGCCTGGATCTGGTCTGTGTACAATGTGGAAGCCAAAACTTGAACCCGAGGCAGGACAGTTATGACTTGGGCAGTGGCACGGACACCTACACCGAACACATTCCGCCTCAACTCTGCAAAAATTGTCTTGAATACGAAAAGCCCGTATCCTTAGACTTGTCAATTTATACTGAACATGTAATGTCAGCCGAGCCGGCAAGCCAGGCCGGACAGCCGGTCATGAAGCGGTCGACCAAGATCATGGCTCTGCTGAGTCAGATCACCCACGTACCAACAAGTGAGAAATCCGTCGTTTTCTCTTGCTGGACACAAAGCCTGTGCGCAGTAGAGGACGTACTGTCGCAAAACGGAATCTCATGTGTTCGTTACGAAAGCACATCGAACTTGGCACGGCGACTACGGGTGCTAGATATGTTTGCGTACGACCCTTCCATTCAAGTGATCTTGATGCCCATATCCTGCGCGGGTGTAGGCGCGGGTCTCACAGCAGCGAGCCACGTCTTCCTTCTGGAGCCTCAGTGGAATCCGACGGTCGAGGCGCAAGCGATAGCCGGAGTCGTCAGATTAGGCCAGACCCAGCAGGTATCGGTGTGCCGCTTCGTGGTTAAGGACACGTGCGAGCAGAGCATCATGAAGATACAGACGCAGAAACTCAGCCTGGCCAATCTGGTCGTGGACAGGTCGACTTTGCAAAGGGGTCAAGTTGGAAAGAAACAGCTTCATCAACTGCGTGGACTGGTGTCGTCGGGATCGTAGAATTTATTGTATACGCGGAACAAAGATGATCCGATCTGTCGGATCTGCCCGAGTTGGAAATTTCTCCGCATCTTCAAAACTTCCCCAAGTGCCCGAGAGTTTAGATTGCATCTCACAATCACCTCCTTCATCATCTTTGATGGGTCGTTGTCTTCCATGATCTTGAAGAGCACACCTGCCAAAGACTATGCGCAAGTGCTTCAGCACATGTGCGAGAGTTTTCAGCCATGAGAACCCCTTAGTATGTCGCTCACACTCAGACCTTTCCCCGCAAAAGTCGATTGTTCGTAGCCAAGAGCCCATTGCAGGGAGCAACATCACCCGCTCTCGCTCTCCGTGCGACAGAAATGCTGAAGCCATACTGATCTTCTGCCCGTCTTCTTCTCTAGGGTCTTCCCCGCTCCCCTGCACCAGGCGGCAAAGGACCACCGCCAACCCTCCCACGCGCCCAACGGGGCCTCCCTCAAAAGCGCCCGCTCCGCAATGTCAAGCACGCCATCGCCGTGTCCTCTGCCAAAGGCGGCGTCGGCAAGTCCACGCTGGCCGTGAACCTCGCCCTCTCATTCTCCCGACACGGTCTGCGGACGGGGATTTTGGACACGGACATCTTCGGGCCCTCGGTGCCGACGCTACTCGGCCTGTCCGACGCCGGTGAACCCAAACTCACCGGGCAAAACATGCTGGTGCCTCTGACGAGCCACGGGCTCCAGAGCATGTCCATGGGATACCTGCTGCCGAGCGAGTCGGCGCCCGTAGCGTGGCGCGGGCTGATGGTGATGAAGGCCCTGCAACAGCTCCTGCACGAAGTTGATTGGTCGTCTCCGGCACCCCTCGACGTGCTGGTCCTCGACCTCCCACCGGGCACGGGCGACGTGCAGTTGACAATCGGACAGCAAGTGGAGCTGTCGGGCGCGGTGATCGTGTCGACGCCGCAGGACATTGCGCTCAAGGACGCCGTTAAGGGCGTCGCCATGTTCCGCAAGATGAACATTGACGTGCTGGGCATGGTGCAGAACATGAGTGTCTTTGTCTGCCCGCACTGTCACCAGGAGACCAGGATCTTTGCCCACAGTCACGGTCCGAACTCGCAGCACAGTGGCAGTGGCAGCGGCCCGAGCGGCGCAGAGGCCAAGGCGGCGGACCTCGGCGTCGATTTTCTCGGCGACGTCCCCCTCGACGCGAGGATCTGCGCCGACGCCGACCGCGGCATGCCTACCATCGTCGCCGAAGAGGCCAGTGGCGTCAAGGTCAATTCCGGGTACTATGAGCGCATTGCCGAGAAGGTTGCCCGGAAGATTGGGTTGGCGTGGCAATGATGACGATCAGATCATGATGGTGCGAAGGGGTTGTGGGGTGCACATTTATTTGCCCGATCCGTCAGGCTGGCTGACGAGCAGCAAATCTGATCTGATAGATGGTGTCCTCGTCGAAGCAACAGAGCACACACAGGGCCAGACATCCACCTCACTCAGCACGACTTCGCGGAGATAGGATATGGTCACACAATCAAAACACCACCCGCCAGTCATTCCTACCACTGACTGAGAGAGGAGAATGCACGTCTGGCGACCTTCCAGCCTTCCAACATTCTTCTCCGTGCTACCCAGCCTAGGCAGTATGTCCTTATAGCGAGCTAGGTAGGGCTCAGCAGGATGTTTTAACAATGTGAGGTTATGTGATGTTCTATGGTGGATCTGCTGTATTTTGTATTTGTACTTGAACCAGCACATGTCCTTGGTCCTTGTACCCCATCTGCCTCCTTGTGGTTTTGATATGGTATAGCGTATCTAGCTGTCTTGTACGATACTCTGTCTTCCTACCTATTATGGAGGACATTCATGGTGGTCCTCGATGTCTCTCTCTTGACGCTGTGACGCCGTGACGTTCCCTAGTATATTTGTATGTATGAAGGATAATCAAAGCGCATCTCTTTCATAGTACATACATACACACATAGATACCTACAGTAGATCCTTGATGCTATGCATGCGGCAATCACACCCTCTTCTGGCTGGATTACATTGCATTGCGATTTGTATGTGTCTAACCGGTCAACTTTGTCCTTGCACATGACATGACATGACATACATGAACCAGTTCGGAAAAGGCCCCGTTATCCTTGTGTGCGTAGCACGAACGCTGTCATCAAGACTCCTCATACTCTGCCACGTGGTCCCGGTCCCGGACTGTGTGATGGCTTCCTGCCCAAGATTGCCTTGCTCGATCTAGGCGACAAACAGAGCACTGGCTGACTGGCAACATGCGACCCTCGACCGTGTGACGTGCACGATTGTCACTCCGCATTTTGGCTTCGTCGGTTTCACTTGTCTTCTTGGAAGCTGGGATTCGATCGAAGGGATATTCTCGCACAATGGTCAGCAGAGGTTACACGATGGCTCTCTGTCATCCATTACTCTTGTCAACGATGAAGCCTGACAGACGCTGTTGACGTGCAAGAAAGCGCCCTCTTCTGTGATAAGGGGAACTATGCGTGGTTGACATTCCAGGTCATTCGTCTGGCGGTAGCCTGAAGAAGGGGTCGACATTGCACACAAATCCCATCCTCGGAGCGGATGGCTCAGTCAAAGGTTATCCGCTTGCCCTGAAAGGTGGCCTGGCTTTGGTCCTGCATCTTTCGCCTCTTCGCCGCTTCCCAAGAGGGATGAAGAGATCCTTGATCATCACGCGAGTTTGCCTTGGGCTTTGGTGGGTGACCTGGGCGGGCCGCCGCATGACCCCCTGTCGGCTTCTGGTTGAGTTTTCTGTCCTGAAATTTGCCTCGAGGGCGGTCGCTGCGATCCACAGCACCTCTCTTCGGATCCCATCCTGCATTTTTCCCCTCCTGATCCCTCTGCTTCTCGAGGTGTTTGGCTTTTTTACCGAACTTGAGCTCCGCGATTTGTTGTCGGGCACGCTGCCCACGTCGATTTTTCCGAGGTTTGGGCTGCGCGGGGCCTCGATAACCGTTCGCGTCATCTTCAGATTCTGATCCAGAATAGTAGCCTGCCACGCTGAGGGATGGTAAAAATGCAGTTTTGGTGGTCGGCTCAGTCGAGGGTGGCATTCGAGAGGGTCCACCTTCACCCTCGGATGAATCGCTTGGGGATGGGGATATAGAGATATCGTCGTCCCCAACATCTCTTCTGGTATTAGACATTTGCTTGACGCCTTGTTGCGGTAGCTCTGAGTCTACAGCGACTTCTCCATCGGACTCAAACTCATCCTCGTCTTCAGAAGATGCCAAGCGACCCTTTGCGAGTTCAAATATGTGATCATCCTCGAGTTCGTCCGGACTTTCAGACCTGTCGGTGGAAAAGCCGTTGAACTCGTCCTCCTCCAATGACTTCTCCCTCGTACCGGTCGCTTTCCGGTGCACTTCTTTGGACCCTTTTGAAGCGACTTTCGGGTCCTGGGGAATTTCAAGTGCGGTGTACACTGTTTCTATGATCCCCGGTAACACCTGTTTGACAGGGTTCGAATTGAACAGTCTCCCAATTACATTCGCCTCGGCGCTTGACTTGACGTGTTCCAGTGGAGGATCTTCGCCATAGGCCTTGATAAATACCGGATGCTCCCTGATTCGTTTCGTCTTGACCAAGTGCTTCAGAAGTTGATTCTTGGCCGTTTGCTCGAGCTCCAGCTGTTTGAGGACGACGACCTCTTCTCGCAGTCGCAGTAACGTCTGGGGGTCGTCGCTTGCATTCTTCTGGCGGCGGCCTAGTTTCTGTCTCTCAAAGCCTCGTGCCAGCTTTAGAGCATCTTGAAGGATCTTGACGCTCCGAGTGACTCTGGCCCTCAGGCCTGACACCTTTAACCCGAGGTATTGTGGCTCTTTTCCTGGCTCTCCAGAATCGTCACTGTCGCGTTTTCGCTTCGACATTGTCATAAGCGTGGTATAAGTGCGTCAAGGAGCTCATACGTTAGTAGTACCCATAGCAAACATGATTGATGTCTGCAATATTTGAGCTGTGATTGAGTATCTAGCAGAGGAAGGAATTTGATCAAATTATTTTCAAATGACCAAAACTTGCTTGGTGATGGTTTTCTTAGGTAATGACACTCCAACTAAGTCTAGTATGAGCTATCGCGCCTCTAGCTTCGGCAGCTCCCGGCAACTCTAGTACTTGTACCTGCTTCGTACCAGCACGTGACGTGGTGCATGGACTATGTACGAGGACGCCCTGCAGCCAGGCAACCGACAGACAAGACAGGGAAAAGACTCTCGTGGGACTCGTATACACCAAAAGAACTTCAACACCAGTCAGCTTGATTTCGGCAGTGCAAGTCATGCATCACGTCAGGAGAAGGCAGCAGCACCAGCAGGGCATCATCTTACCACAAGGTGCCCAGGCGCGCCAGGATTGCCTACCAATTGGAAGCTGATTCTTAGTTAAGGGGCCTTGAGGCTGAGACGCGATGAGCTGAAATCCCCCAAGTTCTGCCAAACCACCTCCTCAGTCATACTCTCATACTCTCATATCATCCAGGCTGCCATCACTTCTTCTTATTGTCACCATCATCAGCCAACTTTCATCTCGTCTCTCTTGTCTTTCATCGCCCTTGCTGCTCGAATAGCCGTTGCTCTCCCACCATTCTTCACACAACCCAGCTAGTCTCCACAAGGACCATTCCTGACTACAAATATGGCGCTTACAGTCTCAAAAGCCCTACTGATTCTATTGTCCCTGGCCGGCTTTTGGACGCTCTGGGGGTTTCCATATCAGAATGGCCTCCTCAAGATCTTAAGCCAGCAATCAGAGCCAGGCGCCGTTATTCCCGGCCCAACCTCAGCTCCCATGAAGCAGACCTACACTGGCATTGGCCCGATCGATAAACAACTGACAGTCTTGGTCAGCTTCTTCTACACTGCCATTGACGGCAACCGCGCGGATGTGTCGCTGTCTTTCCTCTACCTAGGCGGTCAAGTTCTTGCCGCATGGGTCTTAATCATGGTGGAGGGACTCCGAAATGGCAATCGAGGCAGTTTCCTGCTCACCGCGTAAGTGTGAAGCTAGATCGTGGAATGGGTTTCGTGACTCCATCTGACCATTGACAGAACAACACTGCTTGGCCTGGGGGTTGCCATTGTAGGCTATGCTTGCGTCGCACCATTGTGGTTTGCTCTGCACCTATGGACGTCGCCCACCGTGTCCAAACCCAAGGACTATCAACTTTACGTTGACGTGCCAATCAAAATCGCCATTGCACCCATCAGCATCCTCGTCGGATTCGGGCTTCCGTCCCTATTGATGTGCCTCCCAGCGCCAACGATAGTGTCATTTGAGATGAAGCAAATGTGGACGGGGATTCAGCAGGGTTGGTCGATTTGGATTGGTCTGACACAATTGATCCTGACCTCTCTGGCCCTGAACGTTGACCAACGGGCCTCCATTCTGACCGAGAATGATAAGCGTTCAAAGAGTGCCAGGTACCTCCGACTTGCATATGCATTCGCAATCATGTCATCGGCGGGTTCTCATCTGGCGGCGCTGAGCTTGTCTAGCCTGGCTTACCTCTTTCCGGTTCTCTTCAGTTCCACCTATCTGCCGCAGCTTCAACCTGCTAGGATCTTTGTTCCTGTTGTGCCCTTTGGACAGCCACAGGTCAAGGTGCTCGCAGACGGTGCGCTGTGGTTCCTTCAGTGGGACATCATTGTCGGGGTCTCAGCCTCGCTTCTGTGGGGTTTGACCGTACGAGATGCAGGTAGAAACGGGAAGACTACCGTTGGGCAGGCGTTTTTCAGTCTCATCAAGACCATTGTAACTGCGGGCTTGCTTGGTCCGTGTGGCGCTGCTGCTGTTGCCGTCTGGACTCGTGATGAATTAATTTTGGGGAGATCTAATGCTGGGGAAAAGAAAGACAAGGGGATCTGAAGGAGAAGACGAATGCACAAGAAATACAATGGCACCGTGATACCGTGGACGGTTCTTGACTCTCACAGATATTTTTGGTCCTTTTCTGCGGGCGTTGGCCTTTTTGGAAGGTATTCCATGCTTTTTGGAGAACAGTGGTCGGATACGTGAATCTGTGGAAAGTGCCTAGTACAAGAGAAGGAGAAGGATTTGAGAAAGTCTGATGATGGTTCATGGTGGCAATAGGAGCGGGCCAACCACCAGTGGACAGAAGACTTTTGCGCGGTGGCACCTATTTTTGGGGGCGGAAAGAGCGGCCGTCTTTTAAGCATTGGATGTTCCTTCTCAGTCGAGTTTAGGCGAGCCTGAAGCCTTTTAGTAACCAACCAAGCCTACTACCAAGCCTGCTTGGCCTCTGCTAGGCTTGAGGTACTACCTGCCCATCCGCTCTCTGTTAGGCCTGC